TTGCTGTGACACTGACTCATGCGGCACTAATTTTTGTACTGACAATAAAGTTGGTATATGACTTGGCCAATTATCTTCAAAATATTTGTTTGAAACTACATCCTTCTCAACCATTATGCATTATCACTACACGGTTCCTCCTAACCTGTTCTACCTCTAACATTTAGTTGCTTTGGAAAATGAGTCCCAGGGTAACAATTATTCTGGTACATAGTAAAATGGAACCCCCAAATTTTTTTTGCCTGTTGAGGAATTACTTGGTACAATGACACACACACGGTTTATGCTACTGAATTCCAAAATTTTAACTTAACGTGAACTCTTAAATTAAAAAAGCCACTTGCTTGGCGCTAAGTGCTAGAAGTAGCAAGAGCCTAAATCACTACTAATTTCTCTTAATCTTAAAACATGTTTGCCAATCTCAACTGTTTAAAATATCACACCAATCAGCTTGTTTCACATGGTTTCTTGTCGTAAGACTTCTTCTAATTCACCTTTAAATCATTTCTCGTTTAGGAAAGTGCGAGTACACTCAAGCGCAGGCTAACTGCCGTCGAAAAGGCAGCGGCAAAAAGATTATCCTCAGGAATGCTGAACATTTGAGATACCGACTGCTGTAAACCGAAAGAGGCATAGCTTTGTGCTTGGTAAAAGTTCTGGACCACCAGATGAGCGCCGTTTCCACCAAGTTATAAAAACTGACTAGTGCATAGAGTAAACAGGAGCGCTTGTTCTTGAGCGCTTTTACACTTTACCTAACCTGGTTACTGCGCTTTCAGGTATGCGGCAGTAGTTGTATGTTCATGAAATATTAATTTTTATCTGAGGAGAAACGCACCAGATGGAAATTGACTTTGCTAGATCTTATTTGCTTCTCTTCCATGTGAACAAATGGAATTCTAAGCGTTTTGTAAGGCTGTTTGAAATCATAGTTGAAAAAAAGTCGGACAATGATTAACAAAGAAAACTTCATTGACAAATAGCTCTTAAATTCTCTAACACTGTAATCTGCTAAATTACAACACGACAACAAACAAAAGAAATTATAATTAAACGTACACATTAAAACGATAAACAAAGCAGCCACAAATAAATCTCAGCGGTGTTCTCAAAATTGGTCTATATAAAGAATATATGAATGTCACAAATGAAATATAAACTGTTACTCAAACCTGCGATGTTCTGGACTGTGCAGTGGTATAAAATAAGAACATATCAGGCTATGTAACTTAATACAGCATCAGCAAGAATAAAAAAGGAATAAACAAAACCATTTGATTTTCACCGGCTATAACGATTAAGAAACTATGAAGTTAACATGGCGTCCGAGAAACTCTGATTTAAAATGAAATAAACTGTCGCTCTCTCAATCTGCACAAAACCTTTGTACTACCGATGTTTCGCTTCTTATCTCCCAAAGCTTTGTGAAATTCTCTACACCGTGGGAAAAATAGCACGAACATAAAGCAATTTGAACCACGGAACGGTCGGTGACTGCTGAGTGAAAAAGTCGGAGGCAGTATAGATTTGTGCAGATTTTAAAGATGAGGTGCACTAAAACAGACGGTAAAAAGTTCTATACCAATCCTAGAAAAAAAGAAAGAAGAAAAAGAATGCGCGCCCAAAAGCACCATCGTAAACAACTGCGAATATTAACCATCGGAATGGTTGAGGATCTAAATGAACGAAAAAAAAGAAAATTCACTTACTGCGCAAACTCTACTCTTGCAATTTAGATCAAAAACAAGATGACTATTGAGCAAAACTTGCGTGAACGAAAAAAACGTCCAAAGCATGAATCACGTATATCTGACACATGGTTCTACAGCACTCCTCCCCTGAACAGCGCCTCATCAACTTTCAAACGTTGTACAAAAGAAGAAAAGAAAAAAGAGAAAAGAGAGAAAGAATAATAACTGAAATTTCTCAATGCTTCAAACGTTTTTTCAAAACGCATTGATGACCGTTTGTAATCAACGCATTGAAACATGGTGAAAGTTACCAGGTGTAATAACAAGATACAAACAAAAGGCCAGATGTCCGAAAACTAGGAGACACTGATAAATCTGAACCTGTCATACAAAAACTCCCGCATGTTGAAGTTCAAACTTCTGACTTTTAACACCAATTTTCTCGCCCTTCTCCCTTCATGACGGAAAGCAGAGTCTCTTCGTTAGTTATACAAAAAACTGCTCCTCAAAACTTCACTGTGCCCGGTCTGCGAATTCTTCAATTCAAAAGTGAACTTTTCCGCAAACAAGCCAAAAATATATATATATAAATTTGAAAAAAAAAAAA